AGTTAAATTTCAGACGCTCCTCTCATCGCAGCCTTGTGTATTCTGACGTCCCTCACCTCCTGCCCTTTGCCTGGTCAGCTGGGTGATTTTTTTCTCTCGAAACCCCTGAAACAAAACTGAATTTGGTATGTCTTGAGCACTTGTCCTTATTACAAAAGGGGCTTATAATTTTGAAAAGCTGCTTCTCTTTCACTTTACTGAGAAAGACGACTGACTGCTTTATTAATTTAGTTAATTAGGCCAGACATGCAAACAGGATGAAAGAAAAGATGAGGGTATCAACCCCCTTTATGCACCTTTAATTTGTTTGCTGCATGCCTGGTGGAGGTCATTGTCATTTATTACCTTTACGCACCACTTGACAAATGCTCTCCTGCTCACTGAAAGCTGCTCCTAGGGATGGCAGGCAGCTACACTAAGTCCAGGCGAACTCAAGAAGCCTCCTAGATCTTAATTATAAAACCATAAAAGAAACCAACTGCTTTTGAAGCTCTCTTACCGGGAAACAAATGAGAATGGTAAATTTATTTCCAACCATAAATCCCAGACCCTTCAGTTTAATTTTTCCCATGTTAACTTTCTCACCTAGCTAAGCAGTGCTGGCTTCTATTATTAGCTTCTGGCCCAATATCAGCTGACCACCATCAGTCAAACTGTCTTCATCTCAATGAGCTCAGGGACTCCCAATGAACTCTGTGTATGCAGACTTGTGCTTGCAGCCTCTAATTATTTTCTAACAGACAATGGAGCATTTAAGTTCAGAGAGGACAGATTTAACTTGTAAGTGGATCAAAACCCTCGATAAAAATCACAGTTCTTAAGATTACCTCCTGGAAACACCAAGCTTATTATGGGTAGAGAGGAAGGGACCTCAGCAATTGTCTACTACCCCACGATAAGTTTGCTTTAAGATTTTTTCAGGCTCAAAGATGCTTTCCAATTGTAGCATGACTTTGGAATGTATTACACTATAAGCAGAGCATCTGGTTTGATGTCAAACCATCCGATCAGGCCAAAGGCTACTTGGCTTATCAGACAATCATAACAGAGTCAAATAATTTGAGACTGATGAGGGAAACTGTTTTCGCAACTTATATATTTTAAGTCTCTGTTCTACTGTCACATAGCCACGTAGCTACTCGTTCTCCTTCTCTCCTCACAGTAAGGAGGCCGTTCCCTCCCCCAAAACTCACGACCTTCCTGTTTTCTTACTGTTGCCCGCCTTCGGGTGACGCGTAGGGTATCCTTCCCTCCTGGTACCTCCTGCACCTATTGGCTACTTCACTCCCAGCTGTGCTTGCCAGCAGATCAGCAGCAAGACTGCCTGCACTCGGAACTCAACTTCCAGAGGCCTTCTGGGGACGATGGAGTGTGACGAGCCAAGCAGGGTGCAGAAACAACGCCCTGCAACTTCAGCTCCTCACTGCCAGAACACCTGAAGGGAAATCTTAAACTGTGCAACTCTTCCAGAAATAAACGACCACAGATTTGAGCGATGTCAGAAATAAGTGGAAAAAAGGCTAAACCTAAGTTTTACAAAACAGTAGCAACCACCTCTGCAGAGCAAAAACAACCCATGAAAGCCCACTTGTACGTCCTGCTTCTCCCCTGGAGAAGGCACTATGGGTCACTTTGTAGACTTTGCCTTGCATTGTTAGAGCAGACACAGACTACTATGGTGATAAATACTATGCAAGAGAGCAGTGAGCAGAGTGAAAGAAAAAGAGCTAGCTGGGAATGTGTGGAGAAGCCAAGGAATACGGACTGCTGCAATCCCCTGAAGAAAAATTCCAAATAGGGAATGTACTTTTTGGTGCCAGCCAATTCATCATCCCCTGACGGGTGCAGGGTGGGAGGTGTTTGGCCACAGCAGGTGCTAACATCATGCATCGTATCACTACAGTCATTAAAGATCCATTAGTGGGTGTTCAAGGTGCTGAAATGACAGCCCAGTAGCCAAATTGTCATTCTTTACTCTTTCAGCATAACATTTAGCAGAATTTCAGCAGCTCACAGAGCACCTTCAGACTTGCATTCTGCCAATATTACAAGTTGTAACCAGAGCCCATAGGCCATGCCACTACCACCTCCACCGGCTATTTCTGCAGGCACTGAAGGCGAAGGCGCCCCAAGCCCCCTCTGGGTACGTGAACCGACATTTACAAGAGACTTTACATTTTCCAGATTCTCTCAAAAAGGAATGCCAAGTTTTACTTGCAAGTACCAGGACATACGCAACTGAGTAAGAAATAAACGCTGAGAAGCACACCTGAACTGCACAAGGTCAAAGAAACGAAAGCCAAAGGCTTGACTCACCATCACACCTCCTTCCCACCAAACTCCTGTTCCCATTGATAACCAATATGTAAGACACTTGGATAAGAGAGACTCAACCCTCACTATGTTCTTAATGGCACTTACACACTCATATAGCTTTAAAAAAAATCTGATATAACTGCTTTTAACCAACATTATTCACACTGATGTTTTTTTCTGAAAGCACAGCTGATGGATTTTGGTCTCATGTATGTTTACAGATTTGCCTAATAAAGTAATGTCAATTAACAATATCAAGTTTTATCAGCACAGTTACACTGACCAAAACCTCAGAGTGATAACGAGTAAAATGCATTTTCCCACTACAACTTACTGCAGTGCAATGAAAGACATGGAGATACCTCATCTCCTTCTATTAGCTTATCAGTTTAAAACTATGTCCTTTCTGCCACAGAAAGGACTAGTCACAATAAAACCATAAACAATGCCTAAGTCCTTCTATTATATAAACAGTATCTCTTAATATGAAGCTTATTTCAGAAAATACATTACTAGGTTAGGAAGTGAGGATGGCAGGAACTTCTGTACAATCACATGAGCAATTACTTCAAAAGAATGAGATTAAACTGGCTTCCTCATCAAGCCTATGCAGGAAAGGATGTTACAGACTACTGTGCACATATCAAACGCAGTGCTAATACAAAATACCTTACCTCTTTTCATTGTGACTTATACCAACTGATGATGAGGTCTAACTGTATTATTATTATTATTACTACTACAAAACTAAAAATAGCCTTTAGTTTTCTCTCACCTTTTATCCACTGGGTCAGAGGCCCACAGAGGACCGTTAAGTTAAAGAGAGAACCCTTCCTAATATAGCTGCATTGCACACAGCTAAAATCTCTAGAGTTTCCAAGAAAACTTCCTCATTTCTGAGCTATTTATCAGATGTTATGATGTCTACACTGGAGGCAAATGTGGTCCGCTGAATTAAGAGAGCTGTCAAGCCAAGCTAAGAAAACTCTGCCTTTTAACAAGGACCTTATGTTTTATTTGTACAGGGCTTCAAGGTTAATCAACACCAAGGAAGGAGATAATATCATTATTTTTCTGTTTTACAAATACAGGGGATCTGATCCTGGTACAAACATAGTTGCACTGACTTTAACACAGCACAACCAATTTGCTCTGCTTGCGGACAGAAGCGACAGCCCTAAGCGCCCATAGCAGACTCGAGTACAGCTCGCATTCAGGGGACTTCCATTCCCTCCCTGCACGTTTACTTGAAAAGAATGCTGAATACCAGATCTTTTCTTTCTGGAGATCTACCATTAGCAATACTCTTTATCATTATTTTGTCCATTAAGCAAACATCTAATCCTCCTTATCCCTTTAGTGCAATTCATTCCTTCTGAGCAGAGCTGAAATGGCTTTTTTAAAAATATATTTGTGTGCAATGATTATTGATGTCATCAACATAAACGTGCAGTGCTCTGAAGAGCACAGAAAATACCTTCATCTATACAGCTTTAGTTTGATTGCCTGAGAACTCGCACATGATAGTTTGTGTGAAATATCTAATATAATAGGAGGACAATCCCCTTTTGGTTTACAGTCTCATTAACGTTAATCAAATTAAGCTTGTGTACTGCACAGATCTTCAAGATGTAAAAGCACTACGTAATTTTCAAGTTCACAAGAGGAATCTAATAATTTCGGACTTATAAAAAAGTGCAAGTTTCTATGATTTGTCAAAAGCTATCACTGCCCATGACATGCATTTTCACCACGTCAATGAGGTTTGATCTTGACACAGAACTACAGACTGAGTGCATGGTCTCTGGGAACATTCATCATCTGCAAAAATTATGATCTTGACTTCTTACCAACAGGATTCTAGATTAATAAAGCAAACGGGCTTTAAAATACATCGTATTTTCATTAATCTTTAACTCTCTCTTATACTTTGCTGCTGCTGACAGCTCCCCGATTCTCAGTGTTTCGTTCCAAAGAAGGCTAAAGCAGAAGAGGGCTGAGGCTGAACTTCTGATCCTGGCAGCTCCACACCAGTGGAAACAACCTACATAGAGCGATGCTCCACCACGACTCTTACTCTCTTGTTTTAGTTTCTCTGCCGCCATGGAAAGACAAAGTAAGCTTTCTGCTGCTGGGAAGACCATCTATAAGAAACCTCCAGACGTCTTAAGGCCTATGACATTAGCAGAGTGGAAAACCCAGCCCCCTGGTACCGTTGCACTGACATTACTGTGGTACTCCACATACATAACTGACAGTTCCGGAGTGGAACTATCTACATGCAATAAACTAAAAAGGGCAGCGTATTGCCTCACGTAGATCTGCCTAGCTATATAGTTTCACTGAAGCAGAAGTGACCTACCCTCAGCTGAGGCAGTAATTTTTTTTTTTTTTTTAAATATTGCTGCAACAGAGAATGCTATGGTTGCATTTACGCACAGTCCGTTCATCAAGGACTAAGGGCAAGAGGGAGATGGCCCATACAAAAAACTCTGAACAGCTAAGTTTTTCTAGGGACATGGTATCGTAGTGCCGAACATCAGGACAATACTGGTCCTTTCTACAATCCTCCTACTATTTAAATATAAGGAAACAAAACAGGCAGAAATTTCTTTTTACAATCTCTGTGGTCTGCAAAGAGATCCCCCTCCAAGACTAAACCAAGCTGATCATCTCCTACTTACGTCCATAAACTCCACATTGGCTTTGGGACCAGTGGTCTCATTGAGGATCTTGATGGCCACAGGAATCTTTACAGTTTCTCCCTCAGGGACCCAAATACCCTAGGAAGACAAGAAAAAGCGGCATAAAACTAATAAGACAACAGTAACATCTTCATTCAGAGATTCTTTTTTTCTTCTTGTATTTTGTAGACTGTACAGTTCAACGTGGAACCTTGGAAGATAGAATACACAAAGTAAGTTACAAAACAAAAACATCCACAAAACCAGTTCTTATACCAGAACAAAACCCTTATGTAACACGAAAGATTTACGACCAGTCAACCTTCCTGTTACGCCTGCTTGCTTCTCCCAGCCACAATCACACTTTTGCTGAATATTATCAGTGATACACAAAACTATTCTGCTGTGCATTGCTTCCAATAAAATTAAACAAAAATCAGGATTTTCTGTTCTAGATTCTGATGCTAAACCCAACTGCAGCTATCAGTAAACTCCAATGACCTACCTAAGAGGTAGGTCATACTATAACGCAGGAACATGACACCTCGAGCATCATATATTTTGAGTAAAGCACTTAGGGGCTATTTCTCTAACCGAGTGATATCTAAGAATTTAAAGTTGGGATGGCTAAAAAGTGAAGCTTATAATTAAAATTCACAAGCTACATGTGTCTTGGGCTACCTTTCCATCTATTGCTGTTCCATCTATCCTTTCTTATCTATTGCTGTTTTCTTGACAACTGCACGCTACCCATATCACCTTACTAGTCTCTGTGTGTTTTCAAACTGGTTATTTTAAAATGCATTCCCATGGCCTTGTAGCTGTAGTCACCCGGTCTGTACTTCCTCCATTTCTTTCCCAATTTGAAGACAGACACATGTCAGCGCTCTGACCTATCACCTATTTCCATGTGGTTTGGCGACTGTTTGACCTTTTCCTGAAGAACTACTTCACGCCTCTGAGACTTGGATGCAGCCAACAGATTTAAGAATTCTTTAACCAATATCTATTTTCTCGTGCGGGTTCTGCTCTTACAACCTGCTTGTTAAATTGTATTAACATAACTAATCTTTCCCATGAAAGGGGAAGTGACAGAAGGTACTAAAGCTTAGCCAATGATAACATATCATTATTTAACCTGGTATGATCACTATTACTAGGCCCATCTGACAGCTGGGGAAACAAGAGATGAAGTTTACTGGGCTTGCCAAAAGTGTTTTGTAAAGCCATCACTTAGGAACAGAATGTCAAACTTCACTACCTCACTTTAACACCAAAACAGTCCAGCTTGCGTCTTCCTCCTGTGTGTAAGCATGTTTGTGGCTGACATTCCTTAGCTCACCAAGGAGTAACGCTTGCACGTCTGATTACAGCTGAAATCAACGCTTCAGCCTGAAGTCGCGCTCCCGCCACACCATCCCAGTGCTGTATGAGATGCTTTGCTGCAATGCAGAACTTCACTGTTCAAACATTAAATGAGGCCACGCACTACTGCCTAGCAAAGATACTTACCTTGTACACAGTTCCAAAGGCTCCAGAGCCAAGAACCTTAATGCGTTTTAGCTCAGTTTCCTTCAAGATACGAAGCTGTGCTTGGTTGGGTGCTGTGCCACTTGGGGTCAAGGGTTCCACGAGCTATCAAGGAAAATCCAACAGTGATAAATGTTTGAAGATGTCCTTCCATCACATCAGAAGCTTATACTGAAAAGAACCAATCCAGTCAAACACTGGAAAAAGAAAATGAGATCTACTGATCTGCCAGCTTGGGGGGGGGGGGGGGGGGGGACCGGGACGGGACGGGACGGACAGGGGGAATCCCTCATCTTTAAAGTAAATCAATAACGCTAAGAAGAAACCAGGAGATCTGATAAAGAATATCCTCACTCAACGTGTAATAATTTCCACTAGCAATTGCATGATGGAATTATGAACTCGAAATTGAATTGGTGTCACAATGACACACCCAAGGACTTTTGCTAATGGAGGCAGTATAAATATTTTCTGCATGGCAGAAATACAGTATTTATTATCAGTGCACCACCTTCTCTTTTTGCCCATTTTAGCACCTTTTAAGTCAGCTATATTTCTTTTTAATAACCCTGACTGAATGGCTCATCATGGTCTTAGTCTGTCTTGGGGAAGGGACTACTCTTCTGAACTCCTGTTACATCACACAGGAGGACAGCTTGAAGGACAAAACATCTTACAGCAGACCTGCAAGTTATAACGGTCAATTATTTCCTGCAAAAAAGCCACAATTAAACCGTTTGCCCAAGACAAAAACCATGTCCCAAGAAACCTTCTGAATGAAGCACAACAGCACCTTCACTTAAAATGCTCTCAGATCTCAACACTCTACCATCTCTGCCAGAAAAACAATGCTTCTTTAAAACCAAATTAAAACTAAATGAAAAGGACAATACTCTAAACACTGAAAAACAGCCTGTTCCTTTACAGGACGAGAAAAATAATTCAGGGCTACTCCTACTCAAATTGTTTTGAAACCACTGCAGTATTTCAAAGTCAGCTGTTTACAGGGCTAAATGCCCTGTGCTCTGCACTTTGAGCACTGCTGCTATGGCTCTGTAAGCATCAGGGACTACTTAATTAGTTGATCAGACTACTTTGGTTTGGGTAGAAGTATCACTAAGCTAGAAATTGCCAGAGACAAAAAAAATATAACAAAAACAAGCAGTAACAAGTCGGGCTATCACAGAAATAATTTGTGAGCTGTACTTTTTACGGAATGATTTCTCTTTCCTCCTTTCCATTTAGATGTCCAGTACTTAGGTGGTGAAAGAAAGGAGGATTGCTGTAAAAGACAGACAGACAGAGGGGCGGTAAAGTCCCGTATTTCCAGTTTGCAGAGGATGAAAACAGCTTCCGTGCCATAATCCACCAACATAGGCATGGCAGGGAGGGGAAGCGCCATGTGGCCTAATGAAATGCTTGTAGAGTTTTATTGAGAAGGATGCACAGAAAGAACAGGTCTGTTATAGCCTTCAGCCAGAAATGAAGACTTCAGCTGAAGCTGTAGCAGTTTGTTTGTTTAGCTGAGGATGTTACTGACTCAATTCTCAGTTCCTAAGCCAAGGTAACAGCTTTCCCACACGATCAGTAGGAGATTTTCGTCCCTAAGGAACTGCCGTCAGCTGCAGCTTGTGTCGGACCAAATGGAGAACGGGACCTGGAAGTTCAAAGCCAGTATTTTCCAAATGCAATGAAAAATACCTGCTTAAAATCACATATTTAGGCAGAGGTTCATATGATGGCAAGATTCAGGTATCTTAAAGCACTGAGTATTCTCATGCTTTCTGTACAACTGAACAGTATTTATTCTGGCAAACATAAAGATATTTAAGGAAACAGATTGGGGATTCATAAATCATTTGCTCCCGGGCTATGCAGGGGATATAAATGGGAGCAGGACCCTGATGATAAAACAGAAAAGAAAACAGCATTATTAACAAAGCTCTACCAAAGAATCAATAGCTAACAGTATTCCCAAGCTTTATTTATCTTAAGTAGAGGGACACTAATTCCATAGTATCATCACTTCCAACGTATCTCTGACCTACAGGGCTTAGATCTTCACTATAGCTGAAAGATAAGATTTAACTTATCTTTAAATATACTTCCTAGCCTGCACTCTCCACTCCCTGCAAATCCAAGAGCTGGATGGAGACGGCAAAGAATTTTGTCCTATGCCACTCATTACTTGCTTTTTGCCAGTACAACTGCAGACCTCATTTGGTTATCCTCTGCAAAATCTATCTTGCTTTATTAAAACACGTTATGTTTATTACTGAACATGACTACAGGCCTTGACAAAGTTTGGACCATAAAGCTGATACAGGCACTAGAGCCAACAGTAAGTGACAGTCTCTGCATTTAAGCATTCCTGATGAGCTTAAGTTTGTATCAGGGCTTACTAAAGGCAACTGGAGTCTTAAAGCTGACCTCAGTATACACTGGATGAAAACCTGTAATATTTAAGCAGAAGAACTGCTAAGTGTATGGGTGAAATGGAAAATAAGCTCAGATGGGAGCAGGGCAGAGTTCAGAAGTCTGGTGTAGCACGAGTAGGTGACCCTGAGGCTCTTTCTTGCACTTAGAAAGGTATGAATCTGTGTATCTATAGAAAATGAGCCTCTTGAAATAGCTTCACTCATTCTATCTGTTCAGTCGCATGGAAGTCAGCAGAAGGATTTTCTACAGATTTCACTGGTAACTGGACTGGGCCTGAACATCCTTGATATAAAAGTACATCAGCTCTGTGCTTCTTTCCAAGTTAGTAACTACTCTGTGAAAAAGCACACGCCCTCACCTCAGTCTCCAGGAACCTTCGCAATGCCCTCTTCTTTTTAATGCTCTTGCGCCGAACGTACACAGCAAACGTCAGGCCCACGATGACGATGATGAAGAGGCCACCAATAACTCCCGCAGCAATCAGAGGAGTTCTAGCAATCAGAATTAGAGACTTTACTGGGAGGTAGGGAGAGAAACCAAAGAATGGCTGGGTATATAAAACATAATCACTTGGAAAAAAACTTATGAACTGTCTTATGACCAGAGTTTCTAAGTCAGTCCAAACAGAAAGTCAGGGGAAACACACTGAGATGCAGTATGGCCTTTTTTTTCTTTTTCTTTTTTCCAAATAATGTATCAATTTTCCTTTTTTTTCAAATCGTCATGCACATGTGAGGAGTCGTGTGGACAAGGAGACACAACATGCACTTTGATGGCAAACGCAAATCTGCAATGGCAAAATGAGGATACAGGATATCTGCAGTTTATCCTGTAAGAGCGTTAACTACGCTTACTGTTTCTTTAGCTCCAACTACATTAACTGATGGGTTTGGGCATTTAGGGGGAAAAAAAAAAAACCAAACAAACACTTGAACAAAGGAAGTTACTACTAGAACCAAGCACCCCCTCGGCACTCTTGGTTTATTAGCAGTACTAATAAGTATTTCAGTCAGTAGTCAACGGTTGCACCCCTCTGGTTTTACTACTGCTTTTCACACAGCCAAGTCCCAGACCAGAAGACTGCTGCGCTGGAGCGACAAAGCTCCTGTAAAGAATGCCAAGCGAGGCTCAGCGTTCGCACAATACCGTTTATCCCTCCACTGCTTCTGTAACTCCTTTAGCTTTCCAGGATCCTGAGCAGTATCAACTACAATTACTAATTTGCTTTTCCATAGCGCCAAGACACTGTAGTCTGGCATTATGGTGGATACTCTACGGCGCAAAACAGGACAACTGTTTCAGAGATTCACGCGGTTTGACTCAAGTGCCCATGTCTGGAGATTCCCGATACAGTCAGTGGAGAGAAGCAGGCTCTTGCCAAAAAATAATTCAAAGCAGCAAGTGCTCCGACTCGGTCTTCCTTCTCTCTCCTCTGACTCTGTAGGGTGCATTGAAGCTTCCACACCAACTCCCTAAACCGGGCATTTCCGAGAACACCGACAACTTGGTAGCGCGAACACTCAGTGTTCCTAATCCCAGCAATGCTGGACGGTAGATAAAAAGACGGGGTAAAAAGAGACAACGTGGTAACTGCAAAGCATATGCGGTGTGGAAACTGTTCATTACAGGAAAAAGGTTGACTTACAGATAGATTGTGGAAGTATCGTGGCTACAAAACCCTTTAACAACTTTCCTCTCTTATGTCTGAATGATGATGAAAGATGCATTACGGCTTATTAATAACAATGCACTGTTCTGCAACTGAAAACTTTGAGGAGTCTCCCACAGAAATAGGAAACTGATCAATCTGACCCTTCATTCCTCTTTATGTCCAACCACAAAGCTGGCCAGTAAGATGCAGTGCCATCTAATCTGGTTGGGTACATTAAGGTGCATCTACATGTTTGAAGCCCATCTCCAAACTGTCCTAACTGCTCCTAGTCACTGCATTGGGCTGTGAGCAGTCTCAAACCACGCAGCCTGGATGCCTTTCAGATGGCATTAACCAGAAGATAGCTTCAGGAGCACCATCTGATGTGCTCCAGCCCCTAACTGGCACGCTGTCCACAGGATCAGATTAGAGGCAGTCCAAAGTAAAATCCTCTGCAGCAAATGTAGCCTAGACATTGGATCCTCAGCAACACCTATTTCACTCTCCAGATCCAAGTGAGCGCTACTCATTCTGTTAACAAAGACTTACACTGTCACACCTAGCGATTAAAACATCGCGTTTAAAGCACCACCATCATCTTTATCCAGGGAAAACGCATTAAAACTACTCAATACTTGAAGGTCTATCATAGTTCAGAAACTTTACAATGGAGAACATAAAGCCTGCAAAGAAGGAAACTGAATGCTGCCTGGGTACGAAATGATTATGACGTCTGGGAAGCGTGAATCCAGTACCACCTGCTGCTCACGTAGACACACACCTTCTTCATCCAGCCCAGCCTCGAGACGCATCCCCCTTTCTACTCTGATCGATTACTCTGCCAGTTTGGAGTGCAGAACTCTCATTAAAGGACCTGGCATATCCATCCAAAGCTATGGTCCTCTTTATTTGACGTGTCCTTTCCAAGATGCTGATGCAAGAAATTCTTTAATGGGCAACACTGAAAAGACCCAGACATCAAAAGACCTCTATGAAGCTAATACTGACTAATATTCTTGAACAAAAGGAGGCATTTTCTTTATGTTGTCTGAATAATCATATTTCTAACACCATGAAACGAGACTGACAAAACGGGAAAGAGACCTGCAGGCTTCGAAGTGCATATTAATAACCATCATAACAGCTGTCAAAATAAAGAATTACAGTTTTATGGTACCATGTACACTGAGAATATTTACATGATAGACCACTATAAGTAAACAGTTCCAAAGGAGACATAATGGCTAGTCAAGTAAATAAAATGAACTTCCAAATTGCTTGCATCCCTCTATTGTTATACAGTATACAGGTTCAAAATGAATCTTTATGTTCAATCATGTCAACCCTCACCAACTTTAAAAAGAAATCTTCATTATTTTTAGTAGCGATTTGAAAAACAAAATCATTTTTAGAAAATTTCAGCAAACAAGCACCTTCTACTATAGTCATTAATGTCAAATACGTTTCAAGGAGATGAAATCGAACTGCTTGCTCAAGCCTCTCTGACCTTTAAAAGGCCTGTAAAAGTTAATTATTTTGAAGAGCAACACTCAGCTAGTCAAATATTTGCAAGTAACTCAAGGTTTCAATGGTCTGCATATTTTACCTAAAACTTTAGGAGCTACATCTGAACAGATCATTAAGCTCAAGAAAGGAGCCTAAGAGAAATAATACAGAATGCAACCTCCCCCCCATATTTCAGCGCTAAACAAGCAACTCAATGCAGAGAAAGTTCTATTCTGAACTCCAATAGTGAACAGCTGCCATCACTCTTAGCTCTACCATCCTCACATAAAAATCATAACACACACAAACGCTACAGACCTAAATGGATGCAATTTTATACCGTGCAGCTTCTCCTCACCCTGCTAAGACCAAGCTAAGCCTCCAAGTCAACAAGTGCTTTGTTTGATATTCTAGCAAACGACGAGTCATTGGCTTCAGTGCTTTCTGTGATCACTGACGCACTTCAGGATCATGTCTAACTGTTGTTTCCAACCACGTGTAGATTATTTTCCAAGCACCTCTGTTTTGTCAGTGCTACCTACCTGCTTTGAGTTTTTACTCACGTTCACTAGCCTGAGCTTGTTTTCTATGTATTCTGCTAACCTCTTCCAGTCTTCTGCGTTATTTCATTACTATCTTCACGTTTGCAGTAATTCCTATTTAATACCCTTGTGAATTCCATTAACATGCTGTTTACCTTTCTTTTATGTTATTATTAAGGTGGTTTAACACAGATCCCTGCAAGGTGGTGGTGATCAGAGAGGTAACTGAAAACAAAATCTTTCTCCCATTTTGTTTTTGTTTTAATCTAATTTTTTCTGCGTGTGCATCTAACCAAGGGTTCAAGTTGGTACACAGCTGGGCACACAAACCTCCTTATCGTCAGTGGCATTAAAGGCTTAATCCATTTACATTACTGTTACATTACTGTCACACAGCAGTTTCTGTTTGTGAATGCAACTGGCTGTATTTGCCCATCTCAAGACTACTTCACTGCCAACTGAAAACTAATTCCATGAAAATTAACTGGAGCCATGTTGATGCTGAGAAAACAACTACCCCACCGAAAACCAGATTTTTTAAAAGTCATTTTAAAAGCACTGAGACCCCATTTCTCTGTTGGGGCTTAGAGAAGCTAAAGTAAAGCGAAGAGAAGCACCTGCATCCCTCCTTCCTATCCAGCATAAACATAGGCAGTCAAGAGTTGATTCTGGCTCACCCTTCTTCCAGCTCCACTAGGAACCTACCCAGAGGAAACTGCTCATACAGCCTTCATCTACATAATGCAAAGCTACCCCAGAGGATGGAAAAAAAATCTCTACTAGGTGTTTCTGGACTTTTACACTGATGCAAAACAGTTGTCCAAGAAACACGGCCCTGAACCATAATTCCATCCCCATATAATTAACTCGCTGTTCCTCCCCCCTCCTCCAGTTGAGGGCAGAATATCCAATTAATGACTGAAGAAAAAGGAAGCAGGGGAGGTAATGGGAGGGAAAAAAAACCACTACATGCGAAAAACCCTGCCTTCTAACCTGGAAACTGCGTGTATATGTGGCTAAGAGTTGAAAGTAAGATTCTAGTATCCCCTTAGGAGAAATGAATAAGATATATTTCTTTCCTAAATGTGTACACTGTTTTCATATGTAGAAGCATCTAATACCCACTCCTGCACACCAAAATTGAGATAAAAAGTTCAAAGTTAGTATGCCAAGGCAGACGAGGATGCTCAGTAGGGCGGCTCGTATCGTCATTCCATCCACTCCAAAACAGCCAAACATCTACAATTCCCTCGGTGCTCCAACAGCCAGGTATTAAAGCCTAATTATGGACTTCCATATGTACGTGGTCTTATACTCTAGACTGCAGAGCTTGGCAGAAGGGGGAAAGGCAAAAGGAGAAGAAATCAAATTTTGGTCCACGGAGTAAAGCTATGAGCGAGAACACCTTTTTCTTCCTCTGGTGTTAACCCACAGAAGTAAACTGAGCTCTGAAGCCAAGCCGTTAGAGCTCAAAGTCCCCACTTCAACCCTCCTTGCCCATCGCCCCCCCGCCCCCCACCCCCGAAAGGTTTCTCAGTGTTTCTGAACAGGATTCAGTGAATATTTGTTAAGCAGTAGTTTCTTGTAAGTTTTCTTTAACAAGGCATTATTGTTTCCTGATGGACAGCTCCCACATTCTGCACTCCTCATCCCTTCCCTCAACGGGGAGTTCAGCTGACTTTGAAGCTGTGCTGAGGTCTAGCAGATTCTGCTAATCCTAGAATGATAATATTTAAAACCTAGAAGATAAACAGAGTGGGAAGTAAATTCAAATATGTCTTAATGGCTTCTC